CCCCCCCCCCCCCCCCCCTCTTCCCCCAACATTGCACGTTTCTCGTGCTCACTCGAGCGCGTAATATAAAATTTGTCCAATATCTTAATAAGGATATTAATAAGGATGCTAATAAGGATAAAAATATCTGGTCCCAAGTACGAAGAAATTCCATCGTTTGTACGGCGTCATTGGTGGAACGACTTTAAGCGAAAAAGTCCCCACATCCATCAGTCACGGCCGCGCGGTTCGCACTTCTCGTTTCCAGAAGGCGTGTTCGCGAGGATGCGCTCGACCCAATCTGTACCGCCTGCGTACATAAACAGGCTATTAAAATTCGCCAAAAATACGTTTGCTCAAACAGCGCGTGATGTTTTCGCGCTTGCTGAACATGTTTATTTTACGTTTCGAATACGATCGTAGCGGCGGAATCTAACACGATGGAATTCGCAGGAAGAAGAAAGTCTTTTCTCACACGAGCTAAAATAGCGCCGGGTACCGCGCTATTTGAGACATTTTCGGGAGAATAATTAGCGAAACGATAATTTATGTCGTACACATAAGAATTAGCCGATGCGAGGGTATGTATCTTGAAAAATATTATCAACCGCCATGGGGCGGCCGACTTTTGAAATCGCTTGAAAGAATTACTTTAATAACGGAATGATATATCAATGGCAATAACATGAATATTCATAAACATTGTCTATTATTAATTTGCACAATAAAGCCTGTGAATATTTCCCGCGACGGCTCGCCGACTCTCATCGGCATTGAGGACCACGTTTCTTCTAAGGATCAAGTGATCGTTGATGCAGCTGCCTCTCATTATCGCTCGCCCCCGATCATATCTCTTCATTTTCCCCCAACGCATACGCACAAACACACATCCTGCTGTGAGCTATTATTTCTATTATCTTTATTACCTGGATTCGACCGTACGGAACATGTATGCGTTGATGGATCTACCTAATTGCTCAGACACTCGTCGATGTTTAATTAGACTGTTAATGAGCCCACCAAACGTAAAACATGGATTTTATCGGCACAATAAAGCGGGCTCAATCACGTTCACAGATTTCGCACGTGCGCCGATTAATGTGCCGTATCACTTTTACTATCAACATCCGAATGTACAATAGCAACAGCATCAACACCATCACTTTTAATGAGCTGAGTCATCAATAATTTCCTTCTCCTTTTCCTTTCCGCGAGTGTTCCCAAAGAATAAATATCCGATGTTCGTCGAAAGTTCTTTACAAATCAACACGATAGATATAAATGATAAAAACCGACTCTTTTGTAACAATTATTATCTACATCAATAGTATCGTCCATTATCTTTGTAAGACACACATTATAGAAATATCATCGGTTATCCGCCTTTTTCCAATAATCTTATCTGAAATTTTTTTATTACAATTTAAACAGACACGAGAAGACACTTCGCGGTGTATCGAAGTCGTTGGCTTCATTTCGAATTTTTCAAATCTCTCGATAGATTCTCAATGGATTCTCCCCCGCATCAAAATGATCCAAGTACTTGAAAAGAAAAAATTTCGGGCGTAGTGAATTTCGTAAATTCTCGGCGTATCTATTTCGCCCGCGTACGTTCGCCGCGCAACCCGATTATCAAATCGCGCCGGCGAAGCAGATGGGCTGCGCGAAACGCAACACCTGTGGTTTCCCGATTTCGACAGGTATCGAGAGAGTCTCCTTTTCATGCCTCGTAGATAATTTCCGGAGTAGAACGATAGACCGAAAAACCTGTCGGGAATACCGTATACGCGGGGCTGCCAAGAAGCGTTTCAAGTAGCGTCGCACGAATGTCAATTCGCCGCAGTCGACGCGTAATCTATGCACTGCGTGAGATGTGTGAAGATGCGTGAGTAGCGCGAGCGGCCGAAGAAATCTTTCGGAACACAACAACGTGGTAGAAAGAATTTACAGCCTCCCGAGAATAATATACGACGCTCAAGTGAGAATTTTTAAATACCGTTAGAAGTAGTGCCAATATTTCTGTCTATTCTCTCTTCGGCTTTCACTGTGATGCAACGTCCGATGACCGCGTACGCGCGCTATTACGAGCTTTCTTTCGAGCGCGACGCGCGTGCAATGCAGCAGTTCGTTTCCCCGCGGACAGGAATGTCCGGAGATAAAGCGCTTCCGACGCGTCTTTCCCGGTGCTTCGGCGACTACATTAAAGAGTGCGAGCACGGAAAGTCAATTTAGGTCGATGGAACGTAAAATCGCGATTTCACGAATGACAATGAACATTAAATTAATAAGTATGCTGCGCGAGAGACAAAAATACACATCTCCCTTTCCTCCCTTGCCTCTCCCTGATATCGCCCAGTGACACACGTATTTCTTTTTTTCTCCTTCCCTTCTTTCCCCCTTGCCCCACACTGACACACGTATTTCTTTTTCTTCTCCCTTCCCTCTTTCCCCTTTTTTCGTCGAAGGGCAGGCAGTCGAACGCTTCGACGGCGACACTTCCTCCTTCGCGAACATGTGTCTCTACACGCTTGTGAATCGGCGAATCAATCGTTACTGATAACCGATATTAATCAGCTGAAAATATTGCACACGGTCCGTGGCGTATTGGCTGAAATCGAAAAAACGTCTTGCTTTTTTTTTTCGGTACCTCAAGGTTAATTTTGTTCACGACATATCTCGTTAAGTAGAAATACATGTCTCGTCAATTAGAATTCCCGATAACGGTTATTGATAAATCATCGGTCATGATTTTACAAGTATGACTCTGGCAAGAGATGTATCGGAAAATGAAGAATGGATATCAATATAATGTTTACTTATAAATATTATATCGAGAGTGCGACAACATGTAGCCGTTCAGATATCTAATCAGCATTATTTGGAACTGTCATTAGTTACCAATGAGTATTAGTTATTTTATTATTGGCAGTTTCGCCGGTGTATCTAATCTCGAGAAGATATTTAAGAGGCAGATAAAAGAGGCGTATATATTAAGAATTTCATTGATCGGTTCCCGGGAGAAATCGTATCAAGCATATCACGATGCGGAGCCCGCTCATTCGCGCTTTGGCCATACTGTGCCTTATTTCCGGAAGTATCGGTAAGATCATCGGACCGGTGTATATATTTCCCCCGACATTCAAACTTCTTGTTTTATCTATCACGTGCGAAATAACATGGCAATGAACATAGTTGATTTTTGACGGTGAAATAAACGGACGTTACGTCTCAGTGAGATTTCATAATCCACCGAAGTCACTTTTGTGAAAGCGGATTCACCGTTTATCGAATCATATTCGAGTGCACGAAGAGAGGTAACAAGTATACGGAATGTTTGTGGAATACCTGGCGCTATGTGTCGAGATAGTTTCGTTTGAATTTCGTGCCGTACATATTATTACACGAGATTTATCGCCGCCGAGAGTTCGCGGAGCTGAGCAACCGGCCGAGGCGCTCGATAACATTCCTAGTAATCCACCTGGTGTAATGACACGACAGTTTACTTTGTCATTTCATTTAAAGCTCGGCAAATATACCTTAGGTTTACGGCTCGGCAAACGCATGTCACTTTGGCTACCTGTCTTCGCGTCGACTTTCGAGCCGGCATTAATAACAACGGCAATTCCGCGATTCCGCGAGAGATCAGAGAAAGGAGGTAGACACGCGGATAATAATTAGCTCTATTGCTTTCGCAGATACACGTATACATATTTGCGAGTCAACATTTTTCGGTGAAACAACAGCTAACCGAGCTGAGTTCACGAGCGCGAATCTCGTGAAATCTTAGCGAAAACCTGACAGCAATCCGTCACGCGCCATCTTTCTGTTCATTATCTATCTTACTAATAACAAAAATCCTTCACCGACAAAAGGGAGAAAAGGATTCGGCCCTGGGGAACAAGAATGGGGCTATGTACAAGTGCGTCCGTTCGCGAATATGTTCTGGTGGCTCTACTACACCACGGCGGATGTTAACTCGTATTACGACAAACCGCTGGTGATCTGGTTGCAAGGGGGACCAGGCGGATCTTCGACGTCCTTCGGGAATTTCGAGGAGTTCGGCCCTCTGGATACTGATTTGAAGCCGAGGAATTATACTTGGGTAAACAATTATAGACGTGGAGAATAAAAACGACATTACAGAATGTCTTGTTGAGATGAAAATCCGTAACTATAATTGTGCGAATGATCTTCGATGTATATATTTTCCGTAGGTCAAAGACTACAATGTTCTTTTCATCGACAATCCCGTCGGGACCGGTTACAGTTACGTTGACACCATATCAGCATTTGCGACGACGAACGCGCAGATCGCCAAAGATCTTGTGGAGTGCATGCGAGGTTTCTACAAGGAATTACCAAAATTCCAAAATGTCTCAACATACATCACCACCGAGTCGTACGGTGGAAAAATGGGCGCTGAATTGGCACTCGTCTGGTATCGAGTAAGAAACGCGCGAAGTGTTGATTAATCTTACCGATTCGTATTTTTAACGAGCGTTCAGGACAGATAATCATTTCTTCTAACAATTTTCCCAAACTCTATTGCGATACCGAATATTCCACAGGCTCAGAAGGCTGGCACCATCAAGAGCAATCTGAAAGGAGTCGCGCTCGGAGATGCATGGATTTCCCCTATCGATTCTGTACTGACATGGGCACCGTTTTTACTCAGCACAGTATGTAGTATTAATACTCGCATTATTAAGATTTTCGTCTACAGTTCACGGTCTATATGCTCACAAAGTTCAAATAAATCCTTTAAAACTAACACAAGTGTCACTCTCTCAGGGTATGATCGATACGAAAGGTTTTAAAAGAATTGACGAAAGTGCGAAAGAGACAGAAATAAAAGTCAAGACCGGCCAGTGGAAAATGGCAACTCAGTATTGGGGTCACACGGAAAATGTTATTTTGGACGAAACTTACAACATCGACTTTTATAATATTCTCACGAAGATGAGACGTTCGAGATTGAACAGCTTGAGGGCGCAGGATGTATTGTCCTTCGACGGAGGTAAACAATCGCGTAACACGAAATAACGTTGTTCGTATTATTGTTCAAGTTGTAACTATAATTTCCGACGAAGACTTGAAGAGAATGTTAATTTCCTTTCACGTGGAACACTCTCGTAGAAAAGAGAATAAAGAAGAGAAGTCACACGAGTGACTTCCGACTCGAGCCGATAGAAAACGTCTAATTTTGTCTGTGTATCCAATTGCAGAAGCTTTATATCGACACTTCGTCGGGCCTCAATTCGAGTCTTTGTCGCTCGACGAATTGATGAATGGCGCGGTAAAGAAAGCGCTTGGTCTGCAAGTCACTCACGGCATCCAGTCCGGCTCGGTTTTCGAGTACTTGAGGGAGGATTTCATGAAACCCGTCACTCGCCAAGGTACAGATCTCGGCTACGAAATATTCTCATCGCGAAATATCGGGGCGAAAGTAAAAAGAAAAAAAAAAAGAAAGAAAGAGAAGAAGAAAAAGAAATTGACGTGGATTAATGACACATTGTTCTCTAGAGTGCGTGTGAATCTCGTCGACAGTTCCAGAGTTACCGAATCAGTTTCAACGAATAAATGAATCCGAATAAATTTTCCTGCGTTTCGCACAGGTACTCTATTTTTATTGGATAATCAAGTAAGTGTATTCCGTTTCAGTGGAGATGTTACTCGACGAGACCGACTTGCACGTGTTTGTGTACACCGGACACATGGACTTAATCGTTGACACGCCGGGTAAGTTGATTGAATGAGTAATCATTGAAATCTCGCATACGCGACTTTTCACGGCCGAACAGCCGTGGAAAATCGGCGAAAAATCGTACCTATCTACTCTGACATCGGCCGTCGCTATTCGCTCTTTCGTCACGCTGTTTTTCTATCGCTTTCGTATAATCCCTCCGACACTGCGTTACACAGGCACTCTCCGATGGGTGGAAAAACTAAAATGGAAAAACGCCAACACCTGGAACAACTCGGTCAGATATCCGTTCACTGTCGACGACATCATTGAGGGCTACATGAAAGCTCAAGATAACTTCAGGATGTATTGGATCAACAGAGCCGGACATATGGTACGCACGCACGTACGCCAAGCCACTTTCTCTTTTATTATTTGTGTTCGTTCGGCATTTATTAGCCGCAAGCCATATCCGGGAGGTTCATTCGTCGCAAAAGAGAATCCGAAATCGACACACGCGCGTTAGATATTTGGCACAAGGGAATATATTAATTCTCAAACTTATGCAAGATGAATTGTTCCATCATAAATTCTTTTCACGGCTACAAAGTAACACGCACACACGAGCACGTGTGGTCTAACATTGTATAATTGCTTCGCGAAATTTATCGATTTCTGTTGACGCGCGTTATGTAATGAACATTGCAATTATCAAGTTTCACTTAATAAACTGTATTGCTTCAATGGATTTAAAAAATGACGCGTGTTGCACAGGTACCAAAGGACAATCCAGCGGCCATGGCGGTGATACTACGAGACTTGACGAGCAACGCGAGCAACTGAACAAAAGTTGCTGCGTGTGATTGTTACTTTTTATTTACACTAACTAAGCATTCTATAAACGCGCACTGCGTACTGCGCGACATTTGTTCTTTAAATATTTTCTAAATAATATCGTATTGTTGAAGTATCTCGGCGCCGTGATTTTTCTCATGCAAATTCATAACGCAAAATGATGAGCGCACAATTTAAACGCCCATGAAACATTGTATTACGTAATGCATGTAACGTTTAGACTATTATTGATTTCATGTAAAATATTACGTTGCATAAAAAATTAATAGACCCACCACCGAAATCTTTATTTTTGCCTCACCGATTACCGGGGACTCAGGACCGGCTACATTCTGTTGCCATTCTGAAGCCAAAGATATAGCATCGCTGATTAGATACGAGACTTGATGACTCGATAAGAATGATACGCGTGAATTCAAATGTGTTAATTTTTTATGATCATAAATTAATTGATTCGGACAATCATGTCTTAGTTTTGGATCGCAAGATGCTGATAAATGCCAGAAACCTACCTTCGAGCCGATCCTGCTCGGCATAAGCCGGATCCTCCGGTACAACACATTAATCCAACCAACTCCCGGCAATCATTGCCACGGTGTAGCCACAAGTTCAGCCAGATCTGAAATGAAAAGCAAATTCTTTGATTAGTTATATCGGTAGATGTAAAGAATACAGAGACTCCGCTCTGTATATCTCTCTTTTGAATTAGTAAGAATAAATAACGGCAGTTAGCCATCTCTCGAATGCTATTATTGTTTAAAACGATCTTGGTGCGGCAATCTCGCATCCATGACATAACGCGTCTCAAGCGCGCTTCAATCGGCTCGGAAAAATCAGGAATCACACGAACCGTTTACCCTCGCGTCATGAACTATTATGATCATTCAACAAATTGTCTACACAAGAATGTTATTGTTACCGAAGTCAAAACACATTCGAGAGCATCGTGTTATCTACAAATTAATTCAACGTACAAATTAATTTAATAAATCAACTCAGCGTTTCTTTAATTACATTCAACGTTTAAACGTCTCCTTTACTTCGAGAGAAGCGAGAAGAATCCATGCTGTCGGTTTGAAAATTGGATCGTCAGAAATCTCGCTAGCTTCCGCGACGAATAAAAGTCGTCTCTGCGTCGGTCGCGAGGAAGTTCAACGCGGAGGAGGAAGAAGAGGAGTAGGAGGGGTGACGGAGGGGGAGGAGAAAGAAGAAGAAGAAGCTTCCGAGAAACCGTTCGGCCCCGATATAATTACCGCAACATTGTTTATATATTGGCGCGGTTACTGCCGTGGCGTGGGTGTTGAAACAGCATATGTGTAAACAGCAATAAAACATGTAGTGCGGTCCCGAATAGGTAACCTCCTCCCCACGAAAGAGCGAAAGGAAGAGAGTAAACCAGGGAGTTCCCTGGAAAAGCACGATGGGCGGGGTTGGACCGGCCTTCTAGAGATTCTCGTGTCAAATTAAACATCCTTCGTTACCTCGAGAACTGGATACGCCGACGTCTCGCTGGAGTCCGCGCTTTTTCCTCGTCTCGATGATAAGGTCGCTGCGACTCGCGACTCTGTTCTGTGCGACGACTGTCCGAGTTATTTGACATTTTTCTTTCTACACGCGAGGGCAAAAGGGAGAACAAAGAAGACAATTGGAATACTTCGGGGCAGTATTCGCTTTTACCGTCCTGCCGCAAATAAGCAGGCGACAACGAGGCAGTCGAACCCTTTGTGACCGCGCAACAACGAGCGGAACGCGCTTCCTTCGTCTCGGATGCTCAAGAGGATTCCCGATGCAGCCGAGCGATTCGCAGTTTCGAGGTTTCCTGGACGCGAGGAACGATCGGTGTTACGAGTCCTGGTGCGCCTTTCCCGCGAGCGAGGAGATACTCGGCAGGACGATCAGCAAGCATGCCTACGCGAGCGTAGTGCCGGGAATGTTGCGAGCCAGCGCTTCCTGGCCGGCGTTGTGCCAAGCGCCGTTCACCTGGACGATACCTGCGATCGCCTGCAAGGCGACGACGCCGCGTTACGAAAAGCCTCCGTATTCGTACATCGCCCTGATAGCGATGGCCATCGATTCCACGCCGAAGCGGCGGCTGACGCTCTCCGGTATCTACAGGTTCATCATGGACCGGTTCCCGTACTACAGGGAGAACCGTCAAGGCTGGCAAAACAGCATTCGGCACAATCTGAGCTTAAACGACTGCTTCGTGAAGATGCCGCGGGACAAGACCGGCGCGGACAACGACGAGGACGGTCGCTCGATCGGCAAAGGCAGCTACTGGACCCTAGACCCGTCCACCAGCGAGATGTTCGAGCACGGCAATTACAGGCGACGCAGGACAAGGCGCCAGCAGCGGATTCTCGCCCGAGAAAAGGAGGGAACGTCGGTACGAGGAATCGTTTGCGAGCGAAGACTTAACGTTTCGAGACGGTTGCGATATTGAGGCGCAGCTTTGTCTGATTACAGGCCCAATTTTTTCCCGGACTGACGAAGCACCACGAGAAGCTTCGGCAACAGCAGCGCGTAGTCGTCGAGATTAACGAGCAGATGAGCGTCAAGGATGCAACGGATTCCTCGGGAGCTATTACCAAAACTACGGTGTTCAGCATCGATAACATCCTACGGAAGTCCACAAGGGAGGCGCAAATCTAATTTTTCTTTCTTAAGGATAAAACATTTTTTTGTGACATTATTATTATATAATAATGATACTCTCTTTCGACATCGAACGCTCGTGTTAAAAGTCTTATCGTGACATTAGTTAGTATCGTATTCTTATATCGTATCATTTTTGTCAGCGCACATTTTCTGCAACGAGAAGTGTACATCGAATCGACATCAAATTGACATCGAATCGACATCAAATTGAGGTCAAATCGACGTCGGGACAATCGAAATTACGTCGACTCGATGAGTCACTTCTAGCTGGGTCGCTTCCTGAAAATATTATTTATTGCCAGACATACATATTCTGTTATCGTTAGCTTTCAGGCTGCTCTGTGTATACACGAGCCGTTTATTTTTCAAGTGATGTAAGTCTGTTCCCTTCTCTTTTCAAGATATATTAAGCGTTGGTTGCATCTTAATTTACTAAGAGATGTATATGTAAGTTAATAATCGCCGATAATATAATTTCGTGTTGTTTGTAATCATAGTTTAATTTCTCAGATATACCCTTGACACAATATTGACGGGCAAAAATAAAAAAATCACATATTGTTATGATATAATAATAATAATAATTTGACAGCTATTTGATAGATGTAAGATGACCATCTTCTTGTTGTAAGGTAGAGTGAAAAAGCATCTTTTCGTTCTGGCTGCGTTCTGTTTGGATGCTTATACGCTGTAAACATCATTCTGTCTTTATTGTTCATTACATATCAAAGAAAGATAGAATAACGTTTACAGTTCGTGAGTGCGCGAATGGAACGCAGCTTCTGTCTTATTTTCAGCTTCATTCTGCGCACGGCAGATGGCAGCGGATAAAGTTGGATCGTCAGTCTCTAATAGAAATACCGACATAACCTTCTCACCACTTTGCTTTCAAAGTGTGAAAATGGCTCACGTACAACATAAAATACTACGAATCTCAACGATATAATTATTTAAGACTATATGCCTATTATATATTTAATATTAATAAAAACAAGAATGTGAAAATGTAATGCACTCTGGTGTTACAATCAGAAACTAAACTACATTCTGACAAGTACTTTACACAAGGCAGGGTCCCTTAGATGTTCCAAAGCATTTTAGCCACATAGTATAACATTATCAAACTCTTTATCTAAAAATCGCTGCGAGAAGAACTTGAAGCGATAACTGTACCGCTCGTAGCACAGTGCGATATAGTGTGTCATTGGGAAACGTTACATGTATGAAGTTCATTGAGTCACATACGAATTAAATGAATTTAAAAACATCGAAAAGATAGTCGAATAATAGTTTTTTTTAATAAAAAAATTAAATAAAAGAAAATTAAATATTGATCGTTACTGTTTATTCACACGTGACTAAACAATATGGCAACCGGTGACAATAGAAAAGTTGCTCTGATAACAGGTATCACCGGGCAAGTAAGTTGCTGGTGTATACAATTAAATAATTTAGTTTAAACGATTTTTTTGAAAATTTTAATCTTGATAAATATACTATGGAACAGAGCTGAATAGAAAAATTTCATTTTAATTGACTTTATAATTTATAGCTTTTCAGTAATTAATGTAAATAGCATGTGTTGACATTTGATAAAAATTTAGATAACTTTCCTTAGTAAAAATGTCGGGTCAGAAATAGTCTCGCTTACTAATTGTTCTACATCTTGAGACAACACCGAATTTCACATTGTTTTCAATTGTTTACTATAGGATGGTTCTTACTTGGCAGAGTTTTTACTGGAAAAAGGATATGATGTGCATGGTATTATCAGGCGAGCTAGTTCATTCAATACTGGCCGCATTCAGCATCTTTATGAAGATCCAAAATGTCATCGTCAAGGTAAAATGAAATTGCATTATGGTGACATGACTGATTCCAGCAGTTTGATCAAGGTCATTAGTCAAGTACAGCCAACCGAAATTTATAATCTTGCAGCTCAGAGCCATGTCATGGTTTGTATATATTTATATGTATATCAAATATACATGTATAACATTTTCATGCATTAAACTAAAAATTATATTAGCATTGCTATTATTACAGGTAAGCTTTGAAGTAAGTGAATATACCGCAGAAGTAGACGCAGTAGGAACAGTAAGATTATTGGATGCGATACGTACATGTGGCTTAGAAAAGTCTATAAAATTTTACCATGCATCAACATCCGAACTTTATGGTAAAGTGAATGAAATTCCGCAAAATGAGAAAACACCATTTTACCCACGCTCACCATATGGTAAATGACGCAAATATACATCGAATAATATATAAAAGTATACAATGTATAGAAGTTATTTTTCAAATTTCTTTTTAGCATGTGCAAAACTGTACAGTTTTTGGATCGTTGTAAACTATAGAGAAGCCTACAACATCTTCGCATGTAATGGGATATTATTCAATCACGAGAGTCCAAGAAGAGGAGAAAACTTTGTCACCAGAAAGATCACCAGGTCTATAGCAAAAATGCATCTTGGTCTAATGGATATGCTTGAATTGGGAAATTTGGATGCAAAACGTGATTGGGGCCACGCCAAAGACTATGTAGAAGTTTGTAACTCCATTTTCACACTCATTAAATTAATTAGACTTATACTTCAAAATTCTTATAATAATTTATATTAAATGTAACGTAGGCAATGTGGCTAATGCTTCAACAAACAGAACCAGACGATTATGTTGTAGCAACAGGAGAAATGCATAGTGTCAGGGAATTTGTAGAAGTGGCATTCAATTATGTGGGTCGCACAATTAAATGGGAAGGCGAAGGTGTAAATGAGATAGGACGGGATGAACATTCTGGAAAAATACTAATTCGCATAAACCCAAAATATTTCCGTCCAACTGAAGTGGTAAGATTATGCGTTCTGAGTCGTAGGGGGGAGGGGGGGGGGGGTATCAACAGTGTAGGCATGCTTTCCTTCAAATTTCATTGTAATATGTAAAAAAGAAACCTATTTTCTGGCTTACACAGTTGATAGCATGGTTCGATTGCTTTATTTTGTAAAAGAACAAATCACATGTGCGTGTCATGAGGTCTCGTAAATATACGCGAGTATTCAAGGTACCGTTAATTCATTCGTCTGCACGAATTGCGACAGTTTAAATTTGATATTTTACGTTCGATTACTTTGAACAGGATATACTTATGGGTGATGCGTCTAAAGCAAGAAACAAATTTGGTTGGAAACCAACAATCACATTTACGGTAAGTTTTTTATTTGATTTGAACATTTATTGTATTTAACATTTAATATAGTATTAATATTTAGATGATAATAGTATTGATATTATATAGTGTGATAGTATTAATATTTATATAGTGACGGTATCAATATTTATTGTGTTAATTTGTAAATGTCAGGTAAATTGACATGTTCATGAATAATATATATATTGCAGGATCTTGTAAAAGATATGATGGAGTTTGATTTGGAATTAATGCGAAAAAACCCGAATGCTTAAGAGCATTGCTTCAATTGTTGCACAACCAAATGCATTTTCAAAATATTTTGCTACCATAAAATATCAGTATTTAAGAGCTAAACAAGTTCAACTTGAAGTCTTAATAAGACTATTAGTTTCTAATGATATATTGTCGATGCCTGATACCTGATGTGGATCTCATTTGAGGCCGGAAATGTAATTAAAATTTTGTTATAAGTATAAATGTCGATTATTAATAAATAAAGAAAGAAAGTTTTTGACATTTATTTCACACTTATAAAGCAGTATTCATAGTTAGATCTTATATTTAAGATCGCTCTAAATTCATCTTCAGATGCTGTACAAGTTGTTTTACTGGCTGCAAAGCATCCAGAGATGAATTTGAGACAACCTGAAATATAAGATCTGACTAGCAGTACCTAAACCTCAACAGTGTTTCCCACATTGCATATTGTTGCTATTGCAGTTAAAGCGCTATTATCGCCTTGACTCCTAGTTTCAAAAAATATACGCTAACCGTTATGTATACCTTAATAACTCTTGCAGACAAGATACACCAACAGAAAAAAACCCGAAACCCGTCATGTCGTAACGGTTTTTCTAGACGCTCTTCTTGACATATCTCCTGAAAGAAAATTGGATATAAAATATGTCAGTGACATGCACACTCAACAATGCTGTCGTTGAATTATAACTTGTAATTTATAATTCTCATTCTTCAACACCTAAATCTGATAATGGAACTTACAAACGTTTAAAATGCGTAAGCGGCCGAAAGAAACACGTTCCATATCCCGAAGCCATATTGAAATACTACATTTCAAATCCGCCATTACCGCGCCACCATTGCAGCGATTGCGATTTTTGAAATATTGCTAGCAGCTGTAACGAACTACTGAATCGTATTCTTTGATCTGAAGCGAATTGCGCGTACAAATGTCGAATAAAAGATCTAGGAAATATTGGATAGCATTTTTACCTACGATTTCCATTCGACGTTTCATTCGAGCCACCTATATCCGCAACCGTTCGTATCGATATCTCGATAACCGCAATCGTATCTTGTCCACCGTGCCATTACGACGCTCATGTAAAGCCGGCGATACATGGTGCTTGTTTCGTGCTGGATTGCTGCAGATACTGCGTTCCGATTGGTGTATTTCCATCTATTTTCGGAAGTGCACCAATCAGGACGCAGTATTCCCATTCAGAAGTAAGCAATCCAACATCAAAACAAGTACTATGCGCTGCCGGCTTTATACGTGTTATCAAAGAGAGCGTAGTGTGCGAATCATCTCTCTTTCTCTCTTTCTCTCTCCTCGATTGCAAGATTGTAAACAATTCAAACGGAGGCAGGATTGAGAAGAATGCGACTGACATGGGCCGACGGAAGGTACGCACTTTGCTTGCTGATTCTGCAAGTGAAATTAACGAATTCGCGGACGTCTTGGCGATTGAACGCCGCTGACAAAGTCGTGAAGACAACTGACTTCGTGAGCGCGGTCGAGGACGATCCGATCTTCGATATCCTGACTAACAGTGTGGTTACCGGCAATGGCCAAGGCTGGAGCAAAACCGCGACGTCGGAAAAGCATGAGAAAGTACAGATATACTGCCAAGAGTGTAAAGGCTTCGTTGGTCACCAGGAAAGGTAAAGTTAACCATGTCATTATTGCCAGGTTTGATTGTCAGGTTATAAAATGATATCCATATATCATAATTTTTCATAGTTGTGTTTTTCGTACTTTCTTTCGATTCCTCTCTTACCCTCTTTCTGCACGACATTTAAATTATTGTGCTAATTTTATTTCATATCCAGTAAGTGTAATGTAGTATAGAGAAAGAAAAACAGAATCTGTGTGCTTCAGCTGCCTTTTATCTGAAAAATGTTGCTTATATGAACATTTTTATGTTTTCATATATTTCCCGAGAATCGTTGAACACTTATATTACAACATCTGTCAACTGTTGCTTAAAGTAGATTAGGAAGATAAGTGTGATAAGAAAGAAATTACCTGTAGTTAAATATATTGTGCTCATGTATTCCTATAACATATATTGAGCTGTACCTTTATATTTTAGTTCCTCTGTGCTTTTGATTTTATATTATTTTGTATATTATTATATTGTGTGATCCTGTTACATAGATTTCTTAATTTTATCACATACAAGCACTACTATTTATGTGACATAATTTTCTTTTTTTTTTTTCTGTAGTTAACATTTTGTGTGTGGCTTGCTGTTCATTCAGTGTTAAAACAGCCTTAACTTTAGTCCCTTTGGCAGACGACTTTCGTCGTACGTGTTGAAGGGCACACAAAATATCAGCGAGTCTTTTCCCCTGCCCTCGCAAGTATCCAACGAACAAGTGACATGTGCTTCTGGTCAACAATGCGACAACATAATATTGGATTGTGGTAAACCAGTGAACTTCACTTACTATGACAATCTAATTGGTGTGGCAAACAGAAACAAACATCCAATGATACCAGAACCAAATGTAGCATTAATGTTTAAGAAGAACGGTGGCAGGACTGTTGATGTTGATATTGACTTATTGGAGAGGCGCTTAAAGAAAGCAAAGAGAGAGGTATTTATTTGTTAATGCACAATTTACGCATTATAATTATTATTAACAAAAAAATCCTTTCTTCCTCTTTCTCGAAGATATATATATATTTTTGATTCTCTGCGAGTGGTTTCTTTCTTTACATTTCTCTTCTAATTTTCAGAAGCCAAAATCTGTCCAGCTGTACAACCAGATAGGGAATTTCTGGCGTATAAAGGGTGACGCGCAAAAGTCGATCGAATGTTTTCGCAGAGCACTTGCCGTGTCACCGCATAATGCAGAGGTGCTCTTAAACCTGGCTAGAGTATTGCTGGTACAGCATTACTTGGATGATGCGACATATTTAGCCAGGCGATCTCTAGAATTACAACCTCCAGATCGCAATGCCTGGGAACAATATCTTACACTTGGACAAATATTCAAGGTGAATGACGTGAAGGATAATTCAAAAGCTGCGTCGTAATGCCAAGTATTTTCTAAGAAAACGCAATAATGTAGTATCGAATACTGCAATAGTCAACTACTAAAGTAGCTGAATGAAATCTAACTCGAGTACATACGATTTCGTCTATTTGCGCGTCTCCAGCCTTGAGATGCCTTTTTCTCGGATTATAGGCGTACGGTCATTTCCAAGAGGCAGCTGTGCATTTGCGTCATGCGCTGGAGTTAAAACCAGACCTTTCCGATGCTGCTGATGCATTGAAGGAAGTGGAGTCACTACCAGCTACAAGTATACATTTCTATACGTTGCTGATTATAGTCTGTTTGGTACGTAGACTAATTCACAATACGTGCACAATTTCCACCCTTGCCTCGATTAAATCTACCATAGCACCTACACCGATCTTAAATAAAGCTTTTCACGTCATTCTCTCGTTCAAGCAAATTGCTGTTCAAACAATTGTATCTTATGATAAAGGAGCTACTGTATTGCTTTCTTGTGAAGATTTAGTAGGCGACAATCATTGATATGTTCATTGTTATTTTAGGTAGTCGGTGTACTGTTGGTTATATTAAGCAATGTAGAGTGCGACGAGGATTCAACTCTAGTCAGTGGGCAGCTTCAGCGTCCAGTACAACGACATTTCAGTCGTGCTATGGCTATGCGCAGCTTGCGCCTGAACGTTGCACGCAATAAACGCTGTTGATTATGATTCGTTAATGGCGAGCCAGTCGTACATGTGATAGAGTAACTTTTGATGCCATAACGATTTATCTCCCTGCAAAGTATTATTTGTAATATGATTCGTAATAATTCTTGGATTGCACTATCTATTTATTGTGTATCTCCGGAGAAAAATATACGGAAAAATATACAAGAATTTCACCGCTAGTTTCAAGTTGTCCGCTAAAAGTCTCATCGTAACCTTCACCTTCATTCATTCATACACACATATATACAAAGATAAAGCTACATGTGAGTAATTGCGAAGTGAATGAATGAAATACCTGAGACAATAAGTATCGAAAGAATACAGGATGATTTTACCACGAACGAATAACCCTTGGGGTCTCCTCAGTAATTTTCTCTGATTAGAAATCACAGTCGTATTTCATTTTTTTACGTTAAACTTGCTATCGAGAGCTAATTGGGAATAATCTCGATAAATTTCAACTTAATCCGATATTTATTCTTGTCGTAATATGTTTACAGAAAATAAAAAATATGGAATGTAATTAATCATAATTACAATTATTCTCTTTTAGTTGCTATTATATATGTATAACACGCGTTACATCATAACAATTTTTTCCATTATCATAAACAGAACATTGGAATTGATACAAGCGATCTTTTAATTTGCCCATGTATATCAGGTTGTAACGCAATTCTGTACTTGTAAATAGCATATTAATGTTATATATTAGAACTAAAGGTGTGTCACAATATATGTGTATGTGGGACATCCCAAGAAAGGCGTGAAACAGCAGCACAATGATTCTATCAAGGCTTCTCAATATTTTACTTTTTCATCTCGGATAATGAAGCCTCTGTCTTAATCTCGTTTCGTTTCTGACATTGCCTCAGTTATAATTTTAAATATATCTTAGCAATGTATTCCTATGATAAAAATTTCACTACGGCAAAGTCCTTCTAAACATTTAAATTATATATTATTTGTTACGTCTATTTTTATTATTTAATCATTATTTAAATAATATTTTGTCTTATATATGATATGACAGTGTCTATCCACGTTTCTTGAATTTTTTTGACGCATTCGATAGTTCTTTGATTATAAATCTTTACTAGTATCTTTATACAATTTATCCGCACGCAACATATTTTCCGCTGTCGGTTTGCACTTTTTTGGGACATTTTCTACAAGAGACAATTCTCCAATTTGTTGAAAAAGAAACAATACATAACGTAATCTCGTCTCTAAACATTCATTCAACAAGATTCATGCTGATGCTTAACAAGGCTATTCTACATTTTATATTAAAATTTAGCAGAGTAATATAAATAACATTATACAATTTATGATCTAATTAATGCGCATCAAAGATAGTAACATTCTATCTAATACTTGCCGTGAAGGCAATCATTTTTACATATATTCTTCAGGTTTATGTAACATTTTTTTCAATAGCTTGCGCGCGTAATGCTCATAAGATATGTAAATGTGAAGTAATTACTGCAAATGTTTGTAATAGAAATTCGAAAAAAGTAAAAGTATCTTAGATATTTTTTACTTATATCGCATTCGTTACACGAGAGATAGAACATTTCTCTATTATTTTAATTGGATAGAAAAACTTAATTATTTGTCACAAAATCCAATAAATAGGATTTGCAAAAATTCTAACTTTAGCTCCTCGAAATATAATTCCCGACATCATTTTCGAGAAATTAGAAACTAAATATGTATTCTAAA